TAATTGTGCTTCGTTAATGTTGTAGTGTTTTGCACCTCAGGGCCACCGTAGGAAACAGCTGACTGTTTCCTGGCTAGCACCTGTTTTGCTGTAGTCTTACTTTTTGTATTTCTACAGTACAGTTTGCGTAATACCACCCTCTGGTGATCAAAAACTGAAATACAGGTCAACGAGTTTGTTTAGGTTGGTATTCTACCAGTTCGTTCTAAGTAAGACCTACTTCCAAGTGAATTTTATCCATGTTAAAATTAAATGATTCATTTTCATAGGTTAGCACCTAACAATTTCAAATAAAATTCAAAGACCCAGCATAAACATTAGTTGAATATTAGTTCAAACATCAATGAACTAATGTTCATAGATGAAGAGCCCTACAAAGGTTTTTATTAATATCTTTAAAATAATAGCTGCACAAATGGAAATTTTATCAGCACAAATAAGCACAAACGTAGATGAGTTGATTGACACCAAATTTGATTGATTTTGTAAAAGTGAGGGGGCTGGTTGACCTTTTGACCTTTAAACTTTCATAAATATATCTTCAAAGCCAAAGCAGTACAGATGAAAATTTTTCTTGTACAAACAAGTACCAACTTAGCAGAGGTGAGATTGTGCAAATAAAGAAATAAATGTAAATATGAGCAGGGGCAGTGGAATGGTTGACCTCTGATGACTCCTAGAGAACATTTTTCTTAATATCTTTAGAATGATAGTGGCATAAATGAAAATTAAAAATAAAAAAATAAATAAAATTCTGTATGATTCAATTATTTTCAATATTTGTGGGGCATTTGTCAAGCTGGCCGTTTCTCCAATTCAGAAAGACATATTTATGCTTTTCTCCGAACAGTTCCGTCCTAACATTGCAGGCTTGTTTGTTTTCAGTCATATAATTAATATTATTATTACTATTATTGTTGTTGTTGTTGTTGTTATTTTATATATATATATATATATATATATATATATATATATATATATATATATATGTATGTATGTATGTATGGATGTATGGATGTATGGATGGATGGATGGATGGATGGATGGATGGATGGATGGATGGATCCTCAGGTGTGCTGCATACAGTGAGACACATTATGATAAACAAGTTCAGTTTAACTTCATCAGTACAGTCTGTAATTTTTCATGTCTTGTTCAAAGGAAACATTTTCTACTTTAAATGCTTTCAGTATTTAGTACAGGTACTAAATTTGACGAATGTGGAAGGCCGACTTCACTCAGGTTTTGTTTTTATCAGCCAGAAAATCATTAGAAAGCTCAATATTAAGGGACAATATTTTTTGTCCCTTATTTCGGAAAGTGAAACTCAAACATTATGTTCATGTTTTCAGTTTTTATCAGTGGTCGCTTTCAAAATAAAAGCTTGCTTAAAAATATATGTACAGACAGAATTATGACTAACATACATTTCAGATGTCTAATCACAGCCTGTTTTTCTGACTGGTGGATATTACAGGAACCTTTTTCACTATTTTCTCCTCCTCTTAAAATGAGTTTGGAAAAGTTTTAGAACTGTGTTTGTTTTGTGATGCTGTGAGACCTGGTATTTATTTTTCAGTGGTGAAGACTTGCTAGCAACAAGCTACATTTATGTAGATTAGTGATTACAGGGACAATATGGCAGATGGCTGCAGTACATCAGTCCTTTAACTGATGTACTGCCAGAAGAGCTAAATAAATTAGTGAATGAACTAATACAGCATTAATTTTAAATAAAATTCAAAATAATTATAATAAATACATGTATTTAGTCTCTCTGGAGATAGGCACCAGCACCCCTCCCGACCCCACTAGGAAAAGGAAAATGGATGGATGGATGGAAATGTATTAATTTATGATTTTGTATTTTAATGTCTGTCTTGACCATGTTTATTGAAACTTTCACGTACATCTTTACTGAACTTTTTTTTTTTTAATGCATTGGATTGTGGCACTTGTGGCACTCCGTATAGCACGTAGCAGCAGAAAGGCATGTGCAGCAGCAGCAGGCAGGCGCTCATTTCCTTATCACGGTACCCGCCGCCTCATCATGGCTCTCAACATCCCCGGTGTGACCGTGATGGTTCTTTTCTACCTGCTGGTTCTCGGGATCGGCATCTGGGCTTCCGTCAAGTCCAAGAAGGAGGCAAAGAAAGGCCGTGGGGACAAGACCGAAATGGCTCTGCTGGGGAACAGGGGCATCAACCTCGCGGTCGGCATCTTCACCATGACAGGCGAGTGACTGATTAAGAACAGAGGGACACGAGGGGAGAGCCTGGCTCTGCTTCGGCTTAAGATTTTACATGATAGATAGATAGATAGATAGATAGATAGATAGATAGATAGATAGATAGATAGATAGATAGATAGATAGATAGATAGAAAATAATAATAATATATAAAATCATGTTACAGTATTCTGGTAAAGACGTGTGGTCTATTATACATTAGTGATAATTTAGTAATTTAGATTAACCACAATTAGGCAATTGAGTTTAGCTATAAAAAACATATAAGTGTCAGCTGTTTTTAAATAGAAACTGCTTTTAAAAGTGGAACTATTTCAGAACAGGAAGCTGATGCTTGTAAAGAAAAACAGCTTGCAGTAAGAATGTAGCATAAGACTCAAAGAACTGTAAGGTGAAATAAAAATGAGTCAGAATCAATTAATTCTCTTTATCATGTACATTTCAGATCCGCATGGTTTAAATTTGCCCTTCGAAAAGCTTCTGCTTTTAGGTGTTTGTTGTTAAACTTGCTCTATGCGCTTGCATGCAGGTGGAGGACAGGTCAGTCCGGTCATGTTTGAGTTTATTTTATGAGAAACCAAAAGGGGGAAAAAAAAGAAGTGCTTATCCAGTTTTTCTACATAATGTTTTTAAAATAATAGATACTTGTTTTCTAGAGTGATCAGTTTGATTTGGTATGAAGCATAACAAATACAAGTAAAGAGGGAAAAAAATAATCGGTTTGGTCATGTAACATTCACACTTCAACAAAAGGGATAAGGATATCCTTCATATTTAACCATATATGGGAGACGGCTTATAAAATATCACTTAGTGGTATTTGTTTATAAAAATGATATTTGCTAGTTTTGTAGTGGTGGAAAAAAAAGTAATTGTGGAAGCTCCCCCTACTGTTATGATATGGTCACAGAACTGTCTGGAAATACTTGTTTATAAAACCCCCCAAACAATTTTAAGTTTCTGTGTGACTTTAACTTTAATTATCTCAAACAAAAAACAAACATTAAATCAAATTTAAATTTCTACAAATCAGTTTTTCCACAAGAAAATTGATCTTATCTAACTTTTCATACTTTTTTTTTTTTTAAAATCAAACTCCAGTTACTGGAGTAACATGTTTTCTCATGAAAACATCCAACTACCAAAACAAGAATAAACTAGTATCTGTGCATATTTATATTTCCATGTTTATATTTACATTTCCTCAATTGAAACCAGAAACAGGGGGGAAATTGATCATTGATTTTCATTTTAACAGGTACAGTATTACATGTTCATGTTTAAAATAATAAAGCCTAAGATCACTGACTAAAATGAAGTTAAAAACTGGTGTTGATGGTGCCATGTTCTGTGAAACCCTCCACACATGAACTATGTTATCAGTCAGTGGCAGCCTCAGGCTTTATTTAGCCAAACACTGCCGATAGCCGCTGGTAGCACTGAGTCCTTTTGACATTGAACTCAGATGAGATTAAAGAAGGTTTTTATTTGATAAGTTCATGGTGTTTTTGTTTTCTGGTTGAAAATATATTTGGGAACAAATTTTGTGTTTGTACAGAAGAAACCGCTCCTTTAATAGTTACAGTAAATGTTTTAACAGTTCCTGTCTTCTTCCTGTGACTTATGTATCAGTTTTTACATTTCTCGTCTACGATTTTTATGTTTTTTTAATGATTATTATTTTTCTTTAAATAAGAAAAGGAAAATAAAAATCAAAACTCTTGTTGATTTATTTTTTGACAGCATAAAAGAAATTTTTTTAATATTTCGACTAACTGTTTTGTATTGGAACAAATAAGTACTTGTTTTCTTTTGAATTTGTGAGTTTGTGAGTAAAAATATGCACATGGCAGCAGCAGCTGCGGCCACGGTGCTTTCTGCCTCTGTGTGAAGCTGTGTGTGTATTTCTGTCACTCAGCTACATGGGTTGGAGGCGGATTCATTGTGGGCACAGCTGAAGCTGTCTACAACCCATCCATGGGTCTGACCTGGGCTGTGATGCCGATAACAGCAACACTGTGTTTCATAATAGGTAAGATTTCCTCTCTGTTGTCCTGTAGAAACAGACAGAGTGTGTCATGATCAGTTTCACTGAGGATGGTAAATTATTTATAGCTTCAGCTGGGACGTCTCTCTGTACAGGAGAGCAGACCACTTCATTATGCTGAGTGCTACCTCTACTTGTTGTAGATCAATCAATGTCTGCTGCTACTCTTAAGCAGCAGACAGTGATTTAAAATAGGTACTGGTTTAAAATACCTGCTGGCTAAAAAGGCCTGTAAATAAAGGCTGTTCATTTAGTGGGAGCAGAGATGAGACATCAAAAGATGTTGGCGTCATTTCCATCAAGTACAGATTTTCATCTTAAAGCAAATAGCTTTTCCTAACATTAGCAGCAACACAACTGTCATAAACACACTAAGCTAAAGCTTCACAGCGGTTAGGTGCATGATTATCTTAGACTGCAGTGATGCACTGGCTTTAGGAAAACTAGAGTGGAAAACTTTTCTTAGTCTTAGAGCTTCATTCTTGATTTTAGAGAAAATTGTGGTGAAGCCATTAACTGCTGTTCTTCATCTGTACTGTATGCAGGATCATTGTCAGGCAGGGTTTCATAAATTCAAATGAAACAACTCTTCTAGTCTCAGATATTTTGCTCCAGATGTTCAGTCATCCTAGATCTGACTTCAGCTTTGGGTGCTGTTGGCCCTTTGTCCCTGCTGAACAGGCTGAGGGTTTTGGCTGGTGTTTCAGGTTCTGTTTTTAATAAATAAATCTTCTTGTCAACAACTTTCAGTCCTGTTCAGTTTGGTGTTCCATCAGGTCCTATTTCGGAGCCAATGTTGTTTTCATACTGTCATCTTTTAAGGATTTGTCCTGCCATTGTTACGCAAACAGTTGTATATTTATTTTCTTCCAGATGAAGTCTCAATACTGCATATTTTGCTAAAATGCCTGGACAAAAGCTGCATGTATGACAGTTTTCCTAAATTGAATTAAAAGAAAATGAAACAAATAAAGATAAGGGCCTCTTGGCCTCTTGGCCCTTATCTTTATTCAATCAAAAAGTTGATTTTCATAAATCAACTTTTTATGAAAGTTGATTTCATAAAAATCAACTTTTGGAAATGCTTGAAAATCAGATAAAATCTTGGGTTTGATTCTGTTTCTATCAGTGGCGAAATCTTGCTAAAAGTATCTCCACTGTCTCTCAACCTAAACTGGAACTTTTACTTCCTGCTTTTACTTCATCTGACTTTACACACATCCGACCAGAACTTAACAAGATCAGCTGCAGCCTCTGCAAAATGCTGCTGCCAGCAGCATTTTGTGATTCTGCTGTTAATGCATTGGCTCCAGGTTATGTTTGAGCCATATCAAACATAACATGGTTTTGAGTTGGTAGCTTTGCTTTTACAGGCAGCAATCTACATGTCAGCCCAATTAGGGCCTTGAGATCCAGTGATGAAGACCAGTTGATAGTCCCTGACTACCTGAGGCCTGAAGGAGACAAGTTTTTCTTCTAGAATGCCAAAACTCTCTTCCTTTTTCACTGAGATCAGCTGACTCAGCAACTTCCTTCAACAGCCGCTTAAAAACATCTTAATATCTGCTTTTGTTTAATTTGCTTTGTATATTTTAGTTGTTTATTTAAGAAATTTATAATTATTATGTCTTAAAAAAGAGCCACAAGTTTACTTACTTTCTACGGAAAGATTAAAACATTTTGCGTTTCCAGTGTAATGGTTTGCCAAAATGAGGATGCTGAGGCTGAAACGAGTGGTGAAGAATATGATGATGGTAAACAGAACCTAAACTATTATCAATCTGTATTTCTTTTTGAAGTTTGTACAGTCATTCAGATTCAACATAATGCACTCTACAGAGCATTCAAGCACAGAGAAGAACCTGTGCATATCTAAATAAGGAGTGTTGTTCTAAGTTCTAACCACATAATTGTAAAATTTGGCATTTTGAAAATGAATTAGCTTAACAGAAACACGTCAATTTTGAAAAAAACGATTTTTGATAAGATGTTTTAAGGTTTTTTTTCAGTTGTATTGAAATTGGTTTATTTTTCAAAACTGCATTTGGATCACATGAGTCTCATGATCTTGGGCTGCACAGTGGTGCAGTTGGTAGCATAGTTGCCTTGCAGCAAGAAGGTTCTGGGTGTGATTCCCAGCCTGGGGTCTCTCTGCATGGAGTTTGTATGTTCTCCCTGTGCATGAGTGGGTTCTCTCCAGGCACTCCAGCTTCCTCCCACAGTCCAAAAACATGACTGTCAGGTTAATTGGTCTCTCTAAATTCTCCCTAGGTGTGAGTGTGTCCTGTCTGTCTCTGTGTTTCCCTGTGACAGACTAGCGACCTGTCCAGGGTGTACCCCGCCTCTCGTCCGGAACGTTCGCTGGAGATAGGCACCTCCCGACCCCATTAAGGGACAAGGGTGTATAGATGCAGTCTATATGCAGTCACGGATGCAGTCTGATGATCATGTGATGCAAAAAAGCATCGTGAACAACAAAGAAGACGACGACAGGAAGTGGTTGGTTGGCAAGTTTTTTTTTATGACTTATTGTGTGAATAAACTTATTCACATGTGATTTTAACTATTTTTTATGGAAACACCATAATGCAAAATGGTTTTTCAGCATTATTGAAATATTAACAGTTTTGCTCACATTTGTGATGGAAACTTAGTGAGCAACGCTTTGAAGCTTTGTTACAGACAAATCAGTGAATAAGGATGGAGAGAGACGGGGAGTCAGTGGAGGGATTCAGAACTTGCTCATGCAATCATGTTTCCTTTGCTCCATCAGGTCCCTGCTGCACTATGTATGTAACAAGTCTTTTAGTGTCAGTGAAGCAGAGTGATGGACAGAGTTTGGAGATGTTTTTGAGATGAGAGACAGAGATTTACAGAGTTGTTTTGATGTTAGTTTCAAATGTAAGTTGAGGGTTGAAATCCTACACCAAGATTGTTATCTAGAGGAAAAAAGATGAATGTTGTGTGCAGAGATGGCCAACAGCACCCAGGTGTTGAGGCGTTACACCTGGAACAGCTTTTGTTTTTGGTGTTTAGTTGGAAAGTGATGTGGATTAATCTGGAGAGAGAGGCAAGGTCGGCTTTGATGTGCATAACAATAGAAGGAAATCCTGTGATGAATGACGAGATGATGCTGAATGTGAACAGGGTGGGGTCCAAGGACCAACCCTTGAGGCACACCACTGCTGACTGAGTCTATTCAGGATCTTGCTTCTGCTCTGTTATTGTAAAACAATTAATCAAAATTCTGCAGTTTTTTTTGTTGTTTTTTTACACGATGGCACATTTTTTGATAAAGTGCACTTACTTCAAGCATTAATTTGTATAATTTCATAAAAAAGTAAAAAAAAAAAAAAAAAGCCCTGACAGTTAACAAAATCTACCCAAACAACAGATATATATCCCAGTTTTAGACCAAACCTCTTGTTTAAAGCAGAGATCATCCTTGTGGGAATGTCTAACTGCTCACTATGTCTACTGAAAGTGCTAAAAAAAGGACAGGAATGTGTTTTGTTGTGTCACTACATGACGCGTGACTGTTTTCATTTATAACCAAAGGTGGCTTCTTCTTCGCTGAGCCAATGCGGAACAGTAAATACGTAACTATGATGGACCCCTTCCAGATCAAATACGGGAAAGTTCCCACAGCTGCTCTGTCACTGGCCTGCCTTGTATCGGAGATCATGTGGGTGACAGGAACACTCATCGGATTAGGTAAGAATGTTTTTCTATATATGCATCAGTGGAGTGTGTGTGACAGTGGTGTGTTGATCCTGGCAGCTGAACTTCAAACTGCTTCTATTGTGCATCTCTGACATCATTCCACATCAAGCAGCAGCTGCAGCAGTGATTACTAATATTGTACTGTTGAAATTAATCTCAACTTCATTACATTTATACAAATATTTATAATGTTTAAATAAACCATGCAAACCACAAAGTACAACATAATCATTTGCTCATCAGAGTTTACATTATATTTCTCAATATGATGATATTGTATGATTTTGTTTAGGCAATATGTCTACTAGACATGCAACAGTTCATAAAATCCTCATTGGAGTAACCCAATGCTGTCAGCTCCGGTAGAACAGCAACTACACTGTTTCACTTTTACAACACTAACGCTAACTCAGATTTCTGTAAATATTTCCAATTTAGAAAAACTAAATTCATGGTTATGAACCTCATGTTTTTATGAATATGCATTCATATTCCCAAATATGAATGCATATTTGGGAATATGCATTCTGGGACCTCTGCTACAATCTGAATAAATGGAACTGGAATAAAACTAAGAATGAAAGAATCAGTTTCTCTAAAACTGTATTTTTTTTTAACTTGGTTTTTAATAAGAGCCATATCAGAAGCAGGTTCATGTTTTCTGTTGTGGAACAAATTAACCTAATGTTCACATATTAAATGAACTCAGAATGGAGAACCACAACTTTTGCCTTGTTTTAATGTCAGGAGTAAAAAAAAACTTGGATCTTTTCACATGAAAATGAGATTTTAAGCTGCTCATGATGCTGTTGTGAACTTCTGATATAATTACATGACAAGAAGCTGACTTTCCAACAAAAAGGGGAAAAACACATCAAATACAGTTGATGTATTTGATTTCACTATAAAAAAGTGCTTTCGTTCAGTGTAAATTCAGAGCAGAATCTAAACAAAGAGGGAACAGATCATCACAAAGCTCTCTGAACAAAACAGCAACAAACATGATGGAATGTCTAGTTTCCTCAAGGTGAGTGTGTCTGCTGCTGCTGCGCACTGACAACTCAAACACTTGTCTGACTGAATTCTGTCTGTTTTCACCTTTCACACTACATAAATCCCATCTCACTGAACAACATGCCACCATAATGTTTCACTAACAAGCCATAAAAATCCTCAACCTGAATACTCTCCAAGACCCAAAATAACTATTTTTATTTAGATGCGTTACTCTGTGTATTTAGTTACAATCCCCAGTAGTGATGAGTGAGTGGAAAGCCACATACCAGTCAGCAGCCGTCCTCATATTTCTGAAATACTGCACAGGGTTGCTTGCTGTAATGAGATCTATTTGCTGACTTCTTCTAGTGAACCGACTGGCTAAGCTCTGCTCTCAGCCCCAGGGAGAAAACCCTGCAAATCCTTTGGGATATGTACCGATACTCACAGTGTGTGTGAAAAACAATGTTTGTTGTAATAAGTACATTGACACTTAAAAGAACTGCAGGTATCAAAATGAAACCATGAAACAGAAATGGTGATTGACTCTGAGTGTAGTACTGCAAAGCAACTGGAAACTACAGCTGCAATACGGAGTATCTATCTATCTATCTATCTATCTATCTATCTATCTATCTATCTATCTATCTATCTATCTATCTATCTATCTATCTATCTATCTATCTATCTATGACGGTGTCTTTCCTACTCGTGTCTCATATGAAGGATATCCCTTTTGTTGAAGTGTGAATGTTACATGACCAAACCAACTATTTTTTCCCCTCTTTACTTGTATTTTTATGCTTCATACCAAATCAAACTGATCACTATAGAAAACAAGTATCTATTATTTTAAAAACATTATGTAGAAAAACTGGATAAGCACTTCTTTTTTTTCCCCTTTTGGTTTCTCATAAAATAAACTCAAACATGACCGGACTGACCTGTCCTCCACCTGCATGCAAGCCGCATAGAGCAAGTTTAACAACAAACACCTAAAAGCAGAAGGTATTCGAAGGGCAAATTTAAACCATGCGGATCTGAAATGTACATGATAAAGAGAGTTAATTGATTCTGACTCATTTTTATTTCACATTACACAGTTCTTTGAGTCTTATGCTACATTCTTACTGCAAGCTGTTTTTCTTTACAAGCATCAGCTTCCTGTTCTGAAATAGTTCCACTTTTAAAAGCAGTTTCTATTTAAAAACAGCTGACACTTATATGTTTTTTATAGCTAAACTCAACTCAAGAAGACTGCAGATATTAACTTCTGCAGTCGTGTTAAGATGGTTTCCACTCTGTGTGTTGATGCATATGAAGGTTTATTTGGTGTTTGAAACTATTTTAAAACAGTGACACTCCCTCTAGCTGTTTCTAGAGAGAGTCTCACATATTGACTGTAACACACTGTGTGTTCACCATAACACACTTTAGTAATTCCAGTGCACTGATCGATTATTCACAGTCTGGATTTCATGTTTGTAGTAAACTTTAAGCTTTAAGTTTTTTCTTCTAAGTCCAACAACAGCAGGAAACACACCTTCCTGAAACTTGCATTTCTTTATGGTGCAACTTCAACTTTCTTTACTTTCTTCTGTTTTTTGGATGTCAGCACTTGACTTTACCTGAACATCCATTATAAGATAAGATAGTACTTTATTCATACTCTATCCAGTGACATCCATAAAAGTCACACATGCACATGATCAAGTGATCAAAATACACACTGTAAAACTCTAGCCACTGATCAATCTCTCACCTATCTGGTATTGTACCAGATAGGTACAATACCAGTTCCATCTTCTATACCTAATGGAACAGAAGACTTTTCCAGTCTCATTGTTCCTAACAGACAGTGTTGTACTCAGGGTCAAGGTCAGATGCAGTCACTCCAGTTTCATACCAACAGAGGCAGCTTTCTTCAGTAGTCTGTCCAGACATCCAGCATCCCACTTCCTAGAGTTGCTGCCCAATGCCCAAGATGACTGACCATGACAGACTGGTGGAACATGAAGAGGAGTTTATTACAGACATTAAAGGAGCTCAAACTCCTCAGGAAATGGTGCATCAGTATTGGCAGTGTCATTAGAAAACGTGTGTATGTGTCATGATTTAGAACGTGAAGTTGGTAGCTACAGAGTGAACAGGAGATAGGACACTTCCCTTTTGGTGCATCCACGTTAAACTAATATTAGCTATTAATCTGAAAAAAAATATTGCCCCAGTTGGAGCAACTTCAAGCTTTTGGCTTGCTGAGTTGAGTGAATATTTATCTCTATACAGACAGAGGATGTGTACAGTGTGGGGTGCCATTTGTAAAGTTATGTTGTAAAAAAAAAAAAGAGCAGCAGTGATTCTTGGTTATTTAACCATAAAAGGGAAAAATACCTGGCACCATTCTTCAGTCAAATTTTCACCATGTTATTCATTCAATAATAGAAATCCCAGTTTTAAACTAATATTTAATTAGCAAGCTAGCAATATAGTTAGTAAACTAAATGTCTTACCAATGTCGCTAATTGCATATTTAGTTTGGAGCTGGATATCTGGCTTGCTAACTAAATAACTTTTTTAATAATGATAACTTTTGCTAAAGTGCTTTCTGGTAACTGTTCTTGGTAGGAACCCAGTCCATTGTATGATGTAAATGCTTACTGTTTGCCTGTTGTGCATTTGGTCAGGAGTGACCATGAGTGTAATCCTGGATTTGTCCTACACTGTGAGCATCTGGATATCTGCTGCCGTTGCCATCACCTATACACTGCTGGGTGGCCTCTACTCTGTGGCTTACACAGACATCATCCAGCTCGTACTCATTTTCATCAGCTTGGTGCGTTTTTTTCCCACTTATTCTTTTCTAATTTAAACTGTAGATGTCTTTTGAGGCAATATGTGTCCATGTTTGCAGCTATGAATTTGATGCTGATTAAAATGCTTCCCTCTTGCATTCTGTTTCAGCCGTTTCTGGTTCATGCCAAGCGTAAATGACATTACTGAAAGTATTGTCCTTTTTATTTTCAGTCAGCTACCAGCCGGTAGAATCTGGCTGATGGCCAAGAGCTCAAGGTGCAGCACCTAGCGATCCTTTTCAGACCTGCTCTATGCAGTCCAGTAATTTTTCTTGTCTCAGCACAGTTCAACACGTTCTCCCGTTAACTGATGCATGTCGATTGATAAAGACGTACCAATGTAGTGAAGCCTTTTTAATTCTTGGCTTATGTTCAAACATTTAACGTGTTTCCTCTGAACAGAGACTGAAGATTTTGGGACAGGTGCTTAAAGCTTTAACGTATGTGGTCTCAAACTTACAACCAAGCTGGCCTTGGAATAATAGATTTGGCTATTCTGAGACCTTAAAGCTGTATAATATGCTTCCTTCAAGAGCTGTAAAATATTCAACTATAAGCCGCACCCACAAAGTAAAACAAACAAAAAAATAAATAATTAAATAAATAAAATAAAAAACTGGAAAAGCACATATATAAGCTGCATCGGGCTGATATCGCCGCCACTCGGTTTTTCACAAGGACGCTGCCTGCGTCCTTAATAAATCTGCTATTAAGGACGCAGCCCTGCGTCTCCAAAGCCAAACCATGGATTCGTTCACGCCGAGTTTACGTGCAGCGGCTATCGATCTGTACTGCCAGATCGATAGTCTTCACCTTAAAAGCGGCATCATATGAACTTCTTCCTGTTGTTTCCATGATGAGGGGTATGAGTTTGAAAACATTTCTCCGTCATGCCTACTGCTAGGGGCCATCTGAAGCCAGGCTTCGAAGCGTGTACCGAGTAAAAAGGGGGCGTGTCAGATGAAGCTCCGCTTCGTTGCTTGTGTCGGCTTGCTGAAAACCACGTGACTGACAACAAACGATCCCTGCATTGCCTGGGTCACGTAACTCCTTCATTTTGCGTGTCGGTTTTCAAAATAAAAGCATCATGACCTTTATGGATTATTGTAT